CCCCCTCACCCTCCCTCCCCCCCCTCCCCCCACCTCCCCCCTCCTCCCTCCCCCCTCCTCCCTCACCTCCCCTCTCCTCTCCACCTCCATCCCCCTTCACTCCTCACCTCCCCCTCTCTCCCTGACCCCCTCCCCTCACTCCACTCCCCCTCCTCCCCTCATACCTCCCCCTCCTCCCTCACCTCACCTCCCCTCACCATCACCTCCGTCCCCCCTTCACTCCTCACCTCCCCCTCACTCCTCACCTCCCTCACTCCCTCACCTCCCCCCACCTCACCCACCTCCCCCTCACTCCCTCACCTCCCCCTCACTCATCACCTCCGTCCCCTTCACTCCTCACCTCCCCCTCACTCCTCACCTCCCTCACCTCACCCTCCCCCCACCTCACCCCCTCACTCCCTCACCTCCCCTCACCCTCACCTCCCTCACCCTCACCTCCCCCCCCTCCACCTCCCCCTCACCTCACCTCCCTCACCTCACCTCCCCTCACTCATCACCCACTCCCCCCCTCCTCCTCACCTCCCCTCACTCCTCACCCGTCCCCCCTCACTCCTCACCTTCCCCCCTCACTCATCACCTCCGTCCCCCTCACTCATCACCTCCGTCCCCCCCTCACTCCTCACCTCCCCCTCACTCATCACCTCCGTCCCCCTCACTCCTCACCTCCCCTCACCTCACCTCCCTCACCTCACCTCCCTCACTCCTCCACCTCCCCACCCTCACCTCCCCCACCTCATCACCTCCATCCCCCTTCACTCCCTCACCTCCCTCCCCATCACCTCCCCTTCACCTCACCTCCCCTACCTCACCCTCCCTCATTCACCTCCCCTCACCTCACCTCCCCTCACTCCTCACCTCCCCCCTCACTCCTCACCTCCCTCACCCTCACCTCCCTCACTCATCACCTCCGTCCCCCTTCACTCCTCACCTCCCTTCACCCTCACCTCCCCCCTCACTCATCACCTCCGTCCCCCTTCTCACTCCTCACCTCCCTCACCTCCTCACCTCCCCTCACCCTCCACCTCCCCCTCACTCCTCCACCTCTCCCCCCCACCCTCACCTCCCCCACCATCACCTCCGTCCCCCCTTCACTCCTCACCTCCCCTACCTCACCTCCCCTCACTCCCTCACCTCCCCCTCACCTCACCTCCCCCTCACTCCTCACCTCCCCCTCACCTCACCTCCCCCTCCTACCTCCCTCTCCTCCTCACCTCCTCCTCCTCCCTCCTCCCAAGTCTGCATTCAGTTTTTCACCGACCATAATCGCCCATTTTAATATATATTTTTTTCGGGTTGTCAGAAGTAGTAGATATTTGTGACTGTGCATGAGTTTAACAAAGGTAATTAGTGCTCAATATGCAGCACACGTCGGGGGTCGGGTGTGTGGCTGGCTGTTGGGCTCAGTTGGGTGCGTACTATAATGCTTTGAACGATGTGTAATCACTTCCACACGATTACAGTTTCATCTCACTGGATGGTACTGCTATATGTGGGCGTGGGGGTGGTGTGTTTGTGTGGGGTCGTGTGTGGGTGTTTGTGTGGGGTTGTGTGTGGGTGTTTGTGTGGTTTTTGTGAGGTTGTGATGTGTGTGTGTGTGTGTGTGTGTGTGTGTGTGTGTGTGTGTATATATGTATATGTAATTATCGCACTACACCGTTCACTAACTGAATACATGCATATTTTTATCGAAATGAACAGTGTACATTATATATATTCTTATACACGTATGATAATGTTCGTGAAAATCAATAAAGGTGTATGTATAATAGTAGACCAGGTGTACTGTATTAATTAGTAGACCAGGTAGGATCAGGTTAAGTTTGGTTGTGAGGCCAGCTTAGGTTAGGTTAGGTAAGGCCAGCTTAGGTTAGGTCAGGTTAGATTAGGTTAGGTTAGGTCAGGTCAGGTCAGGTCAGGTCAGGTTAGTTAGGTTAGGTTAGGTTAGGGTGGTCACTGTTACGGCAAAGGTAAAATAAACTCAGGTGCTCCAGGTAATTTGTTTCATAGATTAAAACACGGAAGGTTATGTTTTCAGTGTGTTTTATTAATACCAACTGCCATCATAGTGTACAAACATGTTAAGACAGTGGAAGGTGCGCCACTGGTCAGACACACACACACACACACACACACACACACACACACACACACACACTGCCCAGACGTCACGGGCGCTCACAACCAACTTGCTTCACGCCCTTATTTGTGACGTACTGTAATCCTATTCTCTCTCTCTTACATCTAGGTGTGGGTCCCGTCACGTTAGGAGGGTCAGGTGACGTTAGAGGAGAGTTGTGATGTCATATGAACCTCCTGTGACGTCAGGGGAAGTTGTGACGTCATATGAACCTCCCGTGACGTCAGAGGAGAGTTGTGACATCAGATGAACCTCCGTGACGTCAGAGGAACTTTCTATGACGTCACAAGCCACGCCTCCCTTGCTATTGTCAACAACTGGCACCTTGCGGTTCTCTGCTTATACCACGTAGAGAGACAGTTTTCACAGACAGGAAAACAAAACGAAGCAAAATGAAACTGAGTGAAACATTTTTCTTCTGTTGTTACCTTGAGGTGCCAGTTGGTAAATAATGGTGGTCTTGTAAGGTACATTATTATGCAGTGATTTCCGAGTTTAACATCTTCAGAGGGGGGTGGTGGGGTTAGGTTAGGGATGGAGGAGTTGGGATAGGTTACGTGGGTTGGTTAGAGGGAGGTTGGGTTTCATCAGCGGGGGTAGGTAGGACGGGGTGTGGGGTTATAATTGATGATGGTTAAAGTAGTCACCATTGGTTTGTATTACAAACAGATTTACCTGGAATAAAACAGACTAGAAGCGATTTTTACCACCGCCCATAAACAACTTATCGGTGACAAACACACAGACACTGCACCTGACCGTCTCCTCCCTCAAGCGACCGCAGAAGATGGCCTGACGTCACAACCATTCCTACCCACTGATTGGCCGGCAGGATCGGGTTAAATCAGGTATAATTATTTTTACAAGCGTGACGTCACTACCACCTTCATGACGCAAGAGTCGACGAGAGCCAATGGTGTGCCGCTTCATCGAGTTGCGAGTAGAGAAATGTTATTATTATATATTTTATATATATTAATTTCCATTCACAGTTGTAATTAAAATGCTGAATATGATTTTTAACTTTATTGAATATTTTTTTTACCATCGTCTCTTAGTTGAGGACAAATATTTTATTTTAGACAATGAAACAAGATAAAAGTAAACTTTTTTTATAAAATGGCAACTCCCAATGACGTCACAACACGACAAAGTAAACAAGGAATTCTTAAACCGAGAGATGTTTGTTTGTTTACATAGTAGCAGACAGGACGACCATTATTATTATCTTTCCTAAACCACAACTCTCACAATTTAGTTTTAATACATTGTGATTTATTTGGATGAATTTTGTTTATGTTGTGTTTCTTGATACCATATTTTTTAGCCTTATTTAATTTTTGTTCTGAAGGGTCGAGTCAGGTCCAGGTCAGGTCAGGTCAGGTCAGGTCATCAGTTTAGGTTTGATTGGGTTTGGTTGGTTAGATTTGGTTGAGTTGGGTTAGGTTGATTGGGTTGGCTTAGGTTATGTTGGGTTAGGTTGGCTTAGGTTAGGTTGGGTTAGGTTTGGTTGGGTCGGGTCATGGTAGCTTTTTCCTTCTTATAGTCCCCTACTTTCTTCCCTCCCTCCCCGACCAATGTAGTTTTTCCCTTTTAATAATTTTTCCCTGACTGAAAAAAATGTGGTATCAAGTTTTGCTTTTATTTGAATTATTATTATTATTATTATTTGATATTTCAGAATATTTTTGTTGTTGTTGTTGTTGATCGTATTAACTGTCAAGAAATTCTGCATTATTATTAATTTGTTCTTGGTTTTTGTGGTGAATTTTTATTTTAGGTTTATTGACTCGTGATCTGATCTACACTATTATTGATAGTTTTGTTCCTGTTTTGTTTTTGGTCTTTGTTCCTGCTTTGTTTTTGGTCTTTGTTCCTGCTTTTGTTTTGTTGTTCCTGCTTTTGTTTTGGTCTTTGTTCCTGCTTTTGTTTTTGGTCTTGTTCCTGCTTTTGTTTTTGGTCTTTGTTCCTGCTTTGTCGTGGTTTAATTCATCTTCTTGCTTTTGTCTTGGTCATCCTGTTGATTGTGGTGGTCGCTGCAACTGCTTCTTGTGTGTGTGTGTGTGTGTGTGTGTGTGTGTGTGTGTGTGTGTGTGTGTGTGTGTGGTTGTTGGATACAGTTCGAGGAAACAAAAACACGTACTTTGTTTGTTTTTTCTATCTCTTCTCTTGATCTCTCTCACTCGCTGTCTAGGGAGGGAAATAATGTAAACATCCATGATAATTAAGGGTAAAGGAGAAAGCTAAGCGAGTTTATGCGACACACACTAACACCGTCCGTCCTTCGCTGATACACTGTACCGGCCGGCCCACTGTTTTGTTTTGTATTGTTCAAGTTTGTTTATTTAATTCGGGTTGAGTGAGTCCACTTATGTGTTTGTTTCATGTCTTCCTCTTAACCAGCCAGGCCCACTGCAGCCACGCCCTTAGATGGGCGCCACAGTAGCCAGGCCCACCCGTGGCCAGGTTAGCCCACAGCTTGGCCGGCCTTACACAGTAACTGAGTGAGACTGAAGGAGCCGAAGGGTGTTTAAGGAAGAACATAAAGGAAGGTTTTTATTAAATTAATAAACTGTCACTGTCAGTTGAGGACTGGGGTCATCAGGACGATACGTCTTCACTCTCACCCGTATTTTCCATTTTCTTGTACTTTTTCCCTGTGAGCGGCGGGAAGAGACCTCTCGGCCTTGTGTGTGGTTGTGGGTGAAGAATTGATCACGTTGAGGAGGCCCTGCGGGACGGAGGAGAAGACCCTCTGGGGACGACGGCTTGAGGGGAGAGCTGGCGGCGCTCACAGTGAGGATTTTGTTCATGGGGGTGGCGGTGCCGGGCGCCTTGGGCGGGGAGTGGGTCGGTATGGGCTTCACGGGGTCACCACGCTGGGCTTCGGCGTCACCGTCAGGCTTTTGTAGTTGATCCCGACGCCCGAAGGAACAACCTCCTTTATGACGATGTGGTCGTCAAAGGTGGTGGTAGTGGTGGTGGCCGTGGCGGTGGTGATGGTGGTAGTGATGGGGTCGGGCTTGGCAGGGGTGTGGCCGGTGGGCGTGTCTTGAGGACGTCTGGATGAGGGAGACGGTGAGGCGAGCGTCCCGTGGGAGGTCTCGTCACTGCTGGACAGGTCGCTGGTCGCCCCGTTACTCATCTGGAAAAAAGAGAGAGAATCTTGGTTAGTAAGAGGGACTCAAGCTCAAGAGGCCATCAACCACAACTTAAACCAAAAAATCACAACTAAAACAAGAGTGAAGATACGATTAGTGAAACCTCCATTTAACGGACTATATGGATAGAGGAAAGTCCGTTATATGGAGGTTTGTTACACTGATAGTTATTATTGATTCAGAGTCATTCACAAGGGGAGAGAGAGAGAGAGAGAGAGAGAGAGAGAAAAAAACAAAGAAGCACCAGTGACCTTGTCTTTGATTCTTGCCGTATAAAGAGCCATTGACCCTGAACAACACACACACACACACACACAGACAGGGTAAGGGGAGAGACAAGTATGGAGATGTGGAAGGTCGCTATTGATTGCTAGTATTGGGTTTTATGGGGAAGGGAAGGAAGGAGGGGAGAGGTGAGAGGTGGGGAACTGGATGAAGGAGGGAGGGAAGGATAATGGGGGTGGAAAAAAGGAGAGGAGAAAAGATAATGAGGGGATGGGAGAAAGGAGGGGGAAGGAGAGAGGGAGGGAGGCTATCATATACACAAACAATCATATATCGGGTATTCTATTATGAACAGTCGGGATTATCTGCATCTCAACGAGTCATCCATCCGGCCTCACAAGTCATCATCCATCCGGCCTTACAACACGTCATCCATCCGACTCCAGAAGTCATCCATCCAACCCAAGTTATTCATCCGGCCTCACAAGTCATCCATCCGGCATTACGTCATTCATCCGGCCTCACAACAAGTCCTCCATCCGACCTCACAACAAGTCATTCATCCGGCCTCGCAACAGGTCATTCATCCGACCTCACAACAGTTCATTCATCCGACCCCTCAAGTCAGCCATCCGGTCTCACAAGTCATCATCCATCCGGCCACACAAGTCATCCATCCGGCCACACAAGTCATCCATCCGGCCTCAGTGATGAACAAGGAACCGAAAGTAAACAGATATATTGCCATTGTTGTTTATTATTATTATTATTATTATTATTATTATTATTATTATTATTATTATTATTATTATTATTTATTGTTATTATTATTGTTATTGTTATTATTATTAATTATTGTAATTATTATTAATATTATTATTATTGTTGTTGTTATTATTGTTATTAATATTTATTATTATTTATTAATTATTATTATTGTTGTTTTCTCTTCAAGTTTATAGCCTGTGTCAGAGTATGTCATGTTTAAAAGCTAATTTCTCCGATGACCGATGTGATTCTCTACTCACCACCACTCGGTCACCAGTCACACAAACTCACTCACACAGTACGTAAACATACACATAGCAAAGCACACTCACTCCACCACCACTCACCACTTTCTCTCCACGATGAAAAGTCTATCAATATAGGTATGGTATTATTATACAACATACCCAACACTGACTCCTCATACCCACACTGACTCCTCATACTCCACACTGACTCCTCATACTCCACACTGACTCCTCATACTCCACACTGACTCATCATACTCCCCACTGACTCCTCATACTCCACACTGACTCATCATACTCCACACTGACTCCTCATACTCACACTGACTCATCATACTCCACACTGACTCCTCATCCCACACTGACTCCTCATACTCCCACTGACCTCATACCCACACTGACTCCTCATACTCCACACTGACTCCTCATACTCCACACTGACTCATCATACCCACACTGACCTCATCCCACACTGACCTCTCATACTCCACACTGACCTCCCACACTGACTCTCATACTCCACACTGACTCCTCATACTCCACACTGACTCCTCATACCCACACTGACTCCTCATACCCACACTGACTCCTCATACACCCCACACTGACTCCTCATACTCCACACTGACCTCACTCCACACTGACTCCTCATACTCCACACTGACCCTCATACTCCACACTGACCTCATACCCACACTGACTCCTCATACTCCACACTGACTCCTCATACTCTACACTGACTCCTCATACTCCCACACTGACTCATACCCACACTGACTCCTCATACCCACACTGACTCCTCATACTCCACACTGACTCCTCATACTCCACACTGACTCCTCATACTCCACACTGACTCTTCATACTCCACACTGACTCCTCATACTCCCACACTGACTCATCTCCACACTGACTCCTCATACCCACACTGACCCTCATACTCCACACTGACTCTCATACCCACACTGACTCCTCATACTCCCACACTGACCTCATACCATTATACCGAATCATCATCATACTTGGAGACTTATTACAGCCGGGTGGTGTAGTGTGGAGGCCGAGGGGGAGTGTAGGGAGGCCGAGGGGGGGAGGTAGGAGGCCGAGGGGAGTGTAGGAGGCCGAGGGGAGTGTAGGAGGCCGAGGGGGGTGAGGAAGCCGAGGGGGGAGTAGGAGGCCGAGGGGAGTGTAGGGAGGCCGAGGGGAGTGTAGGAGGCCGAGGGGGTGTAAGAGCCGAGGGGAGTGGAAGGCCGAGGGGGGGCGGGAGTGTACAGTTTCACACGAGGAACAAGATGGCGCCCTTTGTCTCTTGCCATAATGAGGTTAAGATTATATTTACCTCCTTTATGTGACAACACGCGCGGTGGGGGGGGGGTGGAGAGGTGGGGGGTGGGGAAGATGAGGTGGATGTCCATGATTGTGGGGGAAGTGAGGGGGAGATAGGAAGGTGAAGGGGTTATGGGGGGGGAGGAGGTGAGAGGGTCCATGATGGGGGGGGGTAATGAGGGAGTATGAGTTACCTGTGAGGGGCTGGTGGGGGCGCTGCCGACGTCACTCACGGGAGGGTTGTTACTCCCCTCCATCACAGTGCCCTGTAAACAAAAGGGTCGACTCAGGTCCACCTCACTCATAACATAAACTATCAGAAAATTAATTATTCTTTACTCATTGATAGACAGAAATATATCTAATAAGACATTAATTAATTAGACTAAAAATTAAATATCTTAAAAGGTAATTAAGTAGTTTTTAATATAATTGGTTGATATTATGGTATATATTGAATGGTGTGTTTGTTGATCTTTCCATATTGTTTCATTCTGGTTCTAGTTTTATTCTCTCTGGCCATGGCCGTTCGTTGTGGCCATGGCCTCTCACACCGCCGCCTTCACTCTCCCTGTAATCCCTCTCCACCCTGTCCGGGGTTACTTCACTCTGACGGCTCCACTCTTAAAGAACTCAATCTCACTCCCACCTCTCACTCTCTCTTCATTCCCCTCACTCTCTCCTCATCCATCTCACTCACCCCTCACTCCTCCCTCTCCTTTGTCTTATCATTCCACCCCTCTACTTTCTTTCCCTCATTCCTCTATTCTCTCTCCCTCTCTCCTTCCCATATTCCTTCATTCTTCCCTCCCTCCTTTCCTCCATTATTCCTCCATCCTCCAAACACTCTCTGCTTCCCTCTCTGCCTTCCTCCTCCCTCTCCCCTCCCCTCACCATCTCCCCTCCTCCTTCATCTCCCCTCCCCCCTCCATCTCCACTCTCCATCTCCCCTCCCCCTTCCCTCTCCCCTCCCTCTCTATCTCCCTCCCTCCTTCCCTCTCCCAGGTGATGGAGGGAAGGACTCTGAAGCGCTCCATTACTTCACGTCAACACCACCGTAATCATGTTAAACCCTCCCTTCACCTCTCCCCTCACCTCCTAACCTCACCTCCCTTACGCTCATCTCCCCTACCCTCATCTCCCCTTCCCTCATCTCCCCTACCCTTTCCTTCACCTCTTCCCTCACCTCACCTCTCATACCCTCCCCCCATCTCTCCCCTCACAGCCCACTCATTTCCCCTGCCCTCACCTCTCTCCTCACCTCACCTCTCTCCTTCTTGACCATGATACCCTACATTCCCTCACCTCTCACATTCTCCTCCTCGCCTTCCTCACCTTTTCTGATTCCTCAATTCTCTTCCCTTGCATTTCTCCTCTTCTTTCTCTCACCCTCGCTCCTCTTCTCCCTCATCTGTCCTCTTCCTCCCTTACGTCTTTCCTCCTCCTCCTCCCTTCGCCCTCACTCCTCCCTCTCACTTCTCCTCGTCCAGTTTCTCTCATTCCTTTCCATCATCACGTTTCACTCCTCACCTTTATCGTTATTCTCTCCCCTTCCTTGCACCTCTCTTCTTTTCTCCCCTCAGGCCTTCTTTCACCTTTACTCTTTCTCTCTCTATCCTTTCCCTTGCTTCTTCCCTTCTCAACTCTCATCCACTAATCTTCCGTTCTTCACCTCTTTCCCCTCTTCTTAACCTTTTACACTACTTCACTCTCTCTCTCTCTCTCTCTCTCTCTCTCTCTCTCTCTCTCTCTCCACTTGCTTGTTTTCCCGTACACGACTGCAGGTGTGACTCCATGTTATAACCCTCCATTGTCAGCCACCCCCTCCATTGATGCTCAGCCCTCCATTGCTACAACACCACCACATCAAGGTTCCCTCCATCATCAATCCCCCTCCACCTTGAGTCCCACCACAACCACAGCAATACGTAACTGAACGGCATGTACGGA